AGCTTCCATACATTTTCTAACATCCCCAAGAATCAAAACCAAATATAATTTACAAGAAATAACCGACTGAAATATTCATTACCTCAAGCTATGGAGTCATGGTGGAGAGAAGAAGAAGAAAGATGAAGAGAAGTGTCTAGATTTCCTTTTCCTTCTTTTCTCTTCCACGTGTAATTATAATACACAAGAGAATGAATTTAAAATTCATTTCTTGCCAAATTACCATTATGCCCTTCAATCTTTTCATCTTTACTAATCAATCCAACCCAAAGAGTTTACAATTAAGTCCCTAAACTTTTCAATTTTTCCTAAATTGATCACCTAATTTCAAAATCTTTCATTTTAGTCACTAACCCAATTTTTGGGATGTTACAAATTCCCCCCTTTAAGAAAATTCATCCTCGTATTTTCACTGCACATATAGATGAAACTACTATCTACACATATATTCTAATGTTCTCATGTTGCCTCCTCAATTTAATCTTTCGTTTTTACCGTTACTAAACTTGCCTTTCACTCATTCAATTCTTCACTACCTTTTTCCTTTATACATCCATATTATGTCACTTATCATGTAGACAGTAACTTCAATTCTTATCACTTAAAATCATAAATCCATTGATTTTCTTCATCAATCTCTAATTGCCTTGCAATAATAACCAAACCTTTATTTCATTATCATTTCAAAAATAATCATGATTGTCCTTAACAACTTGATTAAAGAAAATATAATCATTCGATTATATCTTAAACTTCTTTAATACATATAAATCATTCTTTATCTCTCTGACTATGTCTACTTGATCGAAGAACACACCTTAAACCTTCATCAGGTGATTAAGAAATACATCTTACGGAATCAAACAATCTTTTCATATCACCCTTGTCATACTTGATCCTTTAAAATCCATCTTTTCATTTCTTTATCTATTTATTCTTCCAAAACTCAATATCTCCTTGTAATATAGATCATATATTTTCTTTCATGCTCTCATACTCTTTCCCATATCATTTATCTCTATTTACCAATCTTTATCACATCTTCATAACTTTGTTAATCCACACGAATTGCACAAAACCTTATTCTTATAAAATCCTTATCTTTTTAACTACATCACATCTACATGATCCAGGTACACAACTATACATAAATTCACGCCATACCTGATTAGCTCCACCTGATATTTTCTTCAAATCTTTTAACTTTATATACTTATCATCACATAACCTTGTTAATCAACACTAACTCTTTCAATCTAGAGTTGAAGTCATCATCAAATCAATCATTCATTTTCTTTTCATTCAAAATTTACTCAAGGGTAACTTGCTCAACTTACTACACCTACACTCTTACTCATACACAATACAATTCCCTTAGTTCGAACTCAAATATTCTAACTTCCTTTTTCTTATAAACTGATCACCGATGTACTCATTCTTGAATTCTTATAAAAACAATAATATCATCACTCTATCTTTTAACATTCTCTTGATAACATTCATCCACTATACTCTAATTTGCCCACGTAGCAAAGAAATTACTCCACTTCAGAGCAATGGAGACCCTCTAACATTATTAAGACGTATTTTTAACCTTTTGAAAACAACTTTTGATCTTATAAAGGCATTTCCTGAGGTGTTCGCTCTTCATCCTGCCTGGCCAGGGCAGGTGAATTGCTACTACCTTCAGATATATTGCCTCTCACTTCACTTCGAAACTCTTATGATCACACTTCTATTATAACATAACAATCATATTCTTATAACAAGACAACATACTCCTTATATTATCATATCAGAAATTTTCTTTTTTTGGTATGTACACATTTTAAAACTCATTTGACTTCGGTTTAAGCTTAGAATCGGCTAAACCTTAGCTTTGTTACCATTAAATGTAACACCCCCAACTCGTACCCGACCCAGATAAGAATCCGAGCTGTCACATTAACTTTTCAAAACATTTACTTTTAACAAAATAACTAAAATTCAAGTTCGCATTAAAAACAAAACTGAATAATTTACATTTATTACAATCATACGCTTTTACAAAACTGATCAGAGCAAATATTGTTCAAATATTTATTTACATGCCAACTATTTTCATTATAACAAAATACATACAATTCAATACTTTTCTGATTTGATATTCTGAAATGAGAAGCTAACCTGTCTTGTCTCTCTTTGCTTCTTAATCCTCTCGGAACCTACGTGTGAAACACTCATACGCTAAGTCGTTGACTTAGTGAGGCATAAAAACATATAATGGAAACTCTAAATACTTAACATTGCATGACCACTTCATACTATGATATCACATAAAACCATAGAATATTCATATAATCAAATGTATACATACCCATATCTCGTCATTATCATCATTAACCTCATTTCATATCATTATATCATACATGATCATATATTATCTCATGTAGCAAATACATACCTACACATATCTCATCAATATAATCATTCATCTTCTTATAATTATAAATATTATTATCCTTAATCAATCTTATCATCATATCTTGTACTTTACATTTATACACATCAAAACATATAATATCACACAAGTTTTCTTATGTTATGTCCTTTATTTTCCCATGGTACACTTGTGAGAACTAAAGATATGTGAGTACATAGACGTTGTGCACATATGCTGTCACCACAGCTCATATAAGGTCCCACTAGGGGCATATAAAATTGTCCTGAAGGACCACGTTGAAATGTCCCGAAAGACCACATAAAACCCTCGACTCTTGGCATGCCAACTATACCTCTATCTCTTGTATCACATAACATGGGCATTATCATTTATGTTGTAACATATTCACATATTCATATCACATAGGCATATAATTCACATCACATGGCTTATATCTTGTAATCATGTAATCCCATAACTTCTTATCACATAACTCATAGTCATATGGATTATCTTATAGACATGTATTCACATGTTCACATAGTCATATAGCTCATTCACATATACATGTTCTCCTATAGTTCATATCATTTCTCATACAATCACATAGGTCATATCATATGTCTTATTTTTCATGTTTATATAATCATTTATATCTATACCACATAGTTTATATTTCATGTTCACGTCATCACATAATTCAATTATATCATTTTACATAGATTATCACACCGACATACATTCACATAACTCATTTAACATATATAGTATAACATGTAACTCATGCAATAACGTATGACACATACACTCATATTCATATGCTCTAATATGGAAAATGGACTTATCACAAGTCTTATTTCCATCAAATATCATATATCTAATATTATGCACTCGGCTGGCCTCACTAGTCCAATCAAACACGTACAACTCTTTCTTAGTCGATCTTATCTCATTGACTCATCCGATACTTGCTTCTGATCGATATCTACACAATTATATAACTTATATGAATATCGGAGTTCGAATTACTCAGCAAGATTCTTATTAATATAAACTAAACAAATCACTAATTTCATAATTCCAGCTTAAGTAGTATCAGTACTACAGTACAGTACCGATACCTCCATGCTTGTACTATCGATACCATCCCACGATATCGATACCTATTTTGGATTCTGCAATTACATCGCAAGAATGGTATCGATACCTCTCTATTGGTATCGGTACTTATGGTACCGATAATATTACCTCAGTATCGATACCCCTTGAATATTAATTCCACTTTTTCCTTATGCTATCGATATTGTTCATGCAATATCGATACCTACACCAAATTTTCACTTATTTTTTCCTTGTAGTATTGGTACTTACTCAACCAGTAACATACTATTAACCCATATTACACTTCTTTAACCCCGTAAATTACCAAAACTTTGCTATCCTTCTCATTTTACTCTTCTATATAGCATTTAAACTCAACTATATACTCCCAAACTAACTTATTTTACTTTAACACACTTTAACATCCCATCTTCTCATTGAACACTTGTAACCAAAAATCATACCAATTATTCATCATGTTTTTAATCCACTTCTACTTCTATCTTCTTAATTATACCCTTGACAAGTGAAATATGACTTCAAAATCCACTTACAAACTCTCTCTCAACCGTTCACTTAAAAATCCCTTAAATTAAATCCCCATAATTTGTCATTCTTTTAAGTTTCTATCACTCTTTAAGCTTCCATACATTTTCTAACACCCCTAAAAATCAAAACCAAACATAATTTACAAGAAATAACCAATTGAAATATTTCTTATCTCAGGCTATGGAGTCACGGTGGAGAGGAGAAGAAGAAAGATGAAGAGAAGGGTCTAGATTTCTTTTTCCTTCTTTTCTCTTCCACGTGTAATTATAATACCCAAGGGAATGAATTTTAAATTCATTTCTTGCCAAATGACCATTATGCCCTTCAATCTTTTAATCTCTACCAATCAATCCAACCCAAAGAATTTACAATTAAGTCCCTGAACTTTTTAATTTTTCCTAAATTGGTCACCAAATTTTAAAAACTTTCATTTTAGTCACTAACCCGGTTTTTGGGATGTTACAGACCTAATGTAATGCCCTATACCCTGATCAGACAATCAATCGAGTATATGATGTCACACTAAATTTCAACATCCATGTTAATAAAAAAAAATAAGATCCATTATCTTGTTTATGTTATTTGCTTTAAATCGGTAAGAGAATTATTGATAAATGCCATGACAACACTTGGTTGCATGCCTAGTTAAAAACCTCCTAACCTAAATGGAGGAAAAAAGTACATTCAACTAAGCTAAAAAAAAAGGAGCAACAGACCATATGGATCATCTTAGTAAAGCAACAGGGACAACCTAGCAACAAATCCACATAATCGACTCTAATACAAACGCATCAGACAACTGAATATAGAGAAGAGATAACAAAGCAACCAACAGAATAAAAGAAAGATAAGATCAAGGCAATTCACACACCACAAGAGCACAGAAAGTCACCACCAAGCTTTGAATAAACCCGATCTTGACACGTCAATGAGAGCCAACCACCCTGCCATAAACCTACATCCTTTAGGCAAAAGATTAAATCTCACAAGTTTAATTAGATTACCAAAGCATCAAAATTTGGATACCTGCATAGCCTGCGTAAATTGTCTTGCCGGTTGTCCTTATAATGCCAAGAATTCTACAGACAAAAATTATCTTGAATCAGCAACTCAGGCATGTTCTCTTTAACTTGATACAATTGCTTTGAGCTCCCAGGCTCATTTGCTTTATTTAATCTGTTTTGCAGGCAGGATGTACTATCAGGACAGAGCGTGGAGTTCAGTTCGTAATTAAGAATCCATTCGAAGTAGGCCGAGACGATGATATCGGTGGAAGAAGGTGGTTTGTGTACTTCAATAAGATCGATTACATAAAAGATGATTTCGTGATCCTGTCAGGTATGAAAAAGTAATAGTGAAACCTGAATACATATAACTTCATACTTTTGTTTTCATAAACTTAAGGGAAGCTTCGGTTTCGTGTCCGACAGCGGGAGTTTTCGGCACAACTGCAATACTTTTCAAATCACGAATAAGAGGATTAAAACTTTCAGAGGCACTTGGTTCTGGATTCAGTTGCAATGGTAATAATGTTGCTTATCTTGCTGGAAGCTCAGGACCTTTGAATGCCTATGGATTAGATAGAAAACAACTATCGAATATACCAATTCGAGCAAGGCCTGGACCATCGATCTATTCATATTACTCTTCTTCATTGGGTTTCACAATCCAGGTTCGATTTTTTCCATCGATAGAAACTTAACTTGCAAGAAAGTACTACTGGATTGTAGGATCATTTGGTCTATATGGGTACTGTAGGTTTCCTTCATTCATTGTCCAATTTTGTTTTAGTGCAGAGTGCTGTACTTCCTACTGCTTATCCTTACATCTTGTTTAAAGGGATTACGACATTTGGATGGCCGACTGGTTACTGGTTCTTTCATGGTGTTATTGATAAGCTGAAACATTTCATAGGTTCTAAGTCAAGCCAAGCAATGGTGCTCAATGAAATGGGGCATGACAAGAGTAATGGGAAAATCACATTCAATCAGGAAATCGATAAAATTCGCTTTAATCCACCCCATGACCCTTTGCTACCACGAAAAAGTTGAGGCCTTCCAAAGGATTACCAAGAAACTAGGGGTAATTCTCTTCATGGCCAAGTACCGAAGTACATCGGTACATCTTCTAGGAGGATGCAATGCATCTTCAGACTTTTCGAACGGTGTTTGTAGTTCAAAAGGTCAGATTTTCAATCCAGAGGTTCCTGGTCTAGTGCACCAAGGTCTCTATGTTTGTGATGCTTCTCTAATTCCATGCTCGGCCGGTGTAAACCCGTGCCTTACTATCGCAACAGCTGCTGAGCATGTAAGTAAGCACATTGTGAAGGATATTCTCAAGTACAAAAGTCAAAACTTTACAGATTTTGTTTCTAAAGTGGTAGATCACAATCCATATAAAGAAACACACGATCAAGGAGAGATAATATGTGTCTATCAAAGAAATCATGGGAGGCTATGTTGGGGGTATGCCATGCACAGCTTCTCTGATAATGAAGATAAACTTGCAGAACCAGAACAACAACGATATTTCGAATAGGTTTACGAGAAAATCTTATCCAACTTTAAAAGGGAAAGTTGGTGGTTACCTTGTTTTCAGAGCAATAGAGAAGGATAAGCTGCATATTATAGATGGGGAAGTAGACATGTTTGGAGTCAATTGCAGAACACCTTACACGCGGTATATGCACTAACGCCTTCTCCTTGCCGCTTCTTCCGGTTCAAGGTACAATAAGGCATCCATTTGCATTCCTCTGAATTCTCCTTTTTCTTTTCCTAGAAAATTAATCTGTAACATTAATTGACTAAATGCAAGTATGTTCTTGAGGGAAAGAAGATAATGAATCCTTTTCCTTTTGCACTTAATTCTTGGAGTGAGACAACAACATTGTATGTGACATTCAAAAGGGTTGCTGGGAAGAAGAAGGGTTGAACTTAAAAGGGGTGCTTAGAATTTCCATTATTGAACTACTGAAAAGCCTATTTAGCCTTGAAGGAAATGGAAAAGGAAGATTTATTGATCTTTTCTCATCGAATATCCTTGGAACCTATATTTTGCAGATACCATATCAAATTAACAAAGAGTACTTGACGGATTCTTCCGACAATTCTTCTTATCCGGCGAGTACTTTCCATCGGTTAGAAACAGGAATGCACAAGTCCGAACCTCTTAAAGATCCTTACAAGTTATAATCCAGTGATCTTTGGTTGTTTGATTTATTTATGCATTTCTATGAACATGTTTATAAGTTGTAATTTTGATTGCTTACTCTATATGATGCAGAAGATGGATGTGACATCAGTTGCCTGCAGTGGAGCTGTGACCAAAGTAGATGGAAGCTCAATGAAGAAAAGCAACCAGTTCTTCTACTTAATGGCCATTCCACTGAGAGTTTCTTTCTGCCAAAGGAACCGAACGATTTAATTAGGACTTTACTGGCAGAAGGGCACGAAGTATGGCTACTTCAATCGAGATTGCACGTATCGCATCCCTCGAACAACTTCACCGTTGACCCCATTGGAAGATATGATATACCTTCTGGCAGCAAAAGATGTGAAAAAACTGTAGATGTAATCACTTACTCATACATCTAATTGATTTCTTTCTGCATTTAATTTGCAGTACTCGAAAAGATACATGAATTTCATGGTTCGAGCGCGAAGGTACATGTGGTTGCGCACTGTGTCGGAGGATTGTCCATTCACATAGCTCTCTTGGGAGGACATATCTCTCCAACTCAAATCGCGTCGTTGTGTTGCACCAACTCTTCGATGTTCTTCAAGGTGACTACTTTAGCCACAGTCAAAATGTGGCTCCCTTTGGTCCTGGTGAGTTTTCCCTTTTAATGTCAATTCGATATTTCTTGATCCTTACGCTTCCATCTAAACCGAGCCAACCTGCAGATTTCAATGGCATTGCTAGGCGAGAATAAGATTCTGCCAATGTTAGAGACATCAAAGGCCAGTTTAAGACATAGGCTCTTAATAGCGATCGCCCGTTGGCTACCTAGGTACGAAAGATGCACATGTGATGAATGCGAGGTCTCTTCGGGCATATTCGGCAATGCATTCTTTCATCAAAATGTCACCCCAACAATACACCACTGGTTAAACAAGCAAAGCACAACAAACTCCCCTTGGCAGCATTTCCTCACCTGAGGAAAATCTGCAAGTCCGGGTTCGTCGTGGATAGTAACGGAAATAACTCATATTTGATTCACCCAGAGAGAATGGCGAAGTGTTGTAGTGACACCGGAGACCACATTTCTAGCAAACAAGTATGTGAAGATGCATCAACCAGGTTTCAGACATGAAAGGGTGGTCGTAGATGGATATGGACATTCAGATTTGTTGATTGGCGAAGAGTCTGGTAAAGAAGTTTTCCCTCACATCTTGTCCCACATAAGGCTATCTGAAGAACGGAAAATGTTGTGAGGATTTCCGAGGGAAAGAAATACAGTAAAGAAGCCATGGAATGGACGGCAGATCCTTACCAAGGCTATGGAGGATCTGAAAGTTGTTGGTTTTCGACAATGATTGTAGTCGTTTTATTGGCTTTATTATTAGTTTTTATGTTGAAATTCATATGATTTATTATACTTTTTTTCTTCATATTGTATATGATTGCAAATGTCATGATGATTTACAGATTCTGCATCTTTCTTTCTCCTATTCCACAGATGCAATAATATGTTCCCTAAGCAGTAATGAAAATGAAAATGAAAACAGATTTTAAACTTCAACTTGGCAATAACTAATGATCAACTTCAGTCTTTTCACTCAAATAGGCTTCATTTTAAGGGTTTTCTTCGGCTCATATTACATGCATCTGATGGTCGATACAGAAATATTTTTTAAGACGGACATATATATAGATTAATAATGCAAAATTTTTAAGTAGGGTGAGCACCATTAGAAAAAATAGGTAATTAATCGGAAAAAATTCAAATTTCAGGATTGATATAAATAAATTTTTAAAATGAATACCATCAATAAAATAAATAATAACAAAAAAAATAAATTTCATGGTGACACTCTCAATGAATCCGTCACTACATATATGCTTTCATATTCGTGTAAATGGTGAAGATTATGAAACAAAATTTAAAATATTAATTATAGTGACATAGACGAAGCATTCAATTAAGACAGTTTGGTCGAGTGGTCTAAGGCGACAGGTTTAGGCTCTGGTCCGAAAGGGCGTGGTTTCAAAGCCATCAATTGTCAATTTCACTTTTCTGTATTATTTTCATGGGTAAAAGTACGACGCAGGTCCCTTTATTAAGCAGGAGTTGTATGTTTATCTTTAAAAGTTTTATATAATGTAAAAGAAATTAGTTTTATACTGATTTAGTATCATTACATAAATAAAACTAGACGATTGAAATTATCTTTTTTTCTAAGTGAATATCTTTTTATTTCTAACTGTTAATCTCAGTTGTCTATATTTTCACTTATTCAACGATCATAAATCAATGTGAAACTTTTATTTTCGAGTAAGTAGATATATTGCATTTTTAATGCAAATATTAGGGTCCAAACTCACACAAAATGTGACAACATAAGCGTCCTTGCGATCAATTAAGAGATAATTAATTGTGTAACTTAATCTTATCTCTTTAAATATAATGATAATTAGTGTATTAAAATTAATAGATAAAAATAATAATGATCAGATCTAATAGTATTAACCGAATTTAGGTTTAATGTGAAAATATGTGCTCTATATATCCCAAAGTTAATTTTTGGTGTCTAAAGTATTTTTGTTAAAAATAGGTGTCTAACGTTTTCTCTGTTACACTTTTAGGTTTCTAACGTTTTTGACGTTATATTTATAGGTATCTGGACTGTAATGGATTTTAAGAGACACATTTAGATTTTATATAATTTTTATTTATTAAAAAACACTCTGAAAAGTTATTTTAAAAAACTCATTTTTTCTGAAATTATAAAAAAAAATCCAAAAGTTCCTTAAAAAATTAATTTCAATTTATTTGACATCGTCGAATGCTGCAAACCAACCAAAATTCCAACGACATAAGATTGATCGAAACCCTTGTTCCAACCTCTAATTACAGCGACCAATCGATGTAAGATTGAAGGTGTTGGTGGTAGTCGACGGTGCTAAGAGATTAAAATTAGGGTTTTTTGGGATTTTTACTTTTTTTATAATTTCAAAAAATATTAGAATTTTTAAAATAAAATTAATTTTTAAGTTTTCTTTTAAACATATTTTGCATGTCTAACACGTGTTAGATAATGACATTTTTTTTAATGGTTGTTACAACCCAGACACCTAAAATATAACGTCAGAAACGTTAGACACCTAAAAGTGTAACGGAGAAAACTTTAGGCACATATTTTTAATGAAAAATACTTTAGACACCTAAAGTTAACTTTAAGTATACTTTAGGAACTTATTTTTTTTTCATTAATCCTTGAATTTAATATTCATTCCTAATATACAACAATATCTTTAATAAAATAGCAATTATATTTAGGGTAAATAACATATTTAGTATCTCAACTATCACTTTTATTATGTTTTGGTCATCTAATTTTTTTTCAAATTCATATCTAACGTCTAGTTTGATTTTATTTTGATCATCTGCTGTTAACAAATTTAATGGTAATATCAATGTGTCATCATAAAATAATGTCATGTCATCATTAAAAAAATATCACGTTGGCAGTTTTGTTAATTTTTTAACAATAGGGGCCAAAATAAAACTAAAAACACAATATTAGGTATATTTTGAAAAAATATAATTGGGTGACCAAAATAGACCAAATTGTAGTTTACCCATATATTTATACCAAACTCTATTTCTCTCATCTTTAAAAAAAAAGACTGCAAAATATAAAATAAATACAAGGCCTTTTTCGTCATTTATGGTTTAGGGTTATTGTTAAACCTAGCTATAAACTAGATGCAGCCGTCTTTCTGCTTCATCTATGAAAGCTTGAGTCGTCGGAGGCCAAATCATCAGATAAAGCTCTCACAAAACCCTGGTCTCCTCTTCTTCATTTCACGTAAGCCATGGTAAGTCTCT